GGCATGGGGGGATCTGGGGGGCAGGGGGGGTTGAGGGCAGGGCAGCACCCCTCATGCTGTGTCCTCCATTAAGCAGTGGATCCAGGTGTGCGGGGCAGGGGGCCTGGTTACCTGGGTTCTTTATGCATGTGGGTGCAGGTCTGTGTCCATGGATGCCTGGGGGTCTGTGTGTGTGTGTGTACGCCCATGTCCTGGACCCCTGGGTCCCCAATGTCTGTCTCTTGGACATCCGGGTCTTGAATATCCATAGCCCAGATGCCTGGGTCCCTTGTGCCTGTCTCCCAGATGCCTGGGTCTGGAGTGTCCATGTCCTGGACACCCGTCCCCCCGCCAACTGTGCTGCTCCCTCCACAGCAGGCATGGTGGGTGGAGGCACGGTGCCATGGCCAGACAGGTGAGCTGCTGCATTGTGGGTCACGCCCCACACTCTTTGCCAGCCAGCTTTTATGGACCCTTGGCCTGCTGCTTGGGCTCCCCCTGCTGCCTGTGTGCTGCTCCCTTGCTGGTATGGCTGTGTCAGGTGCTGGGTGCAGGGGGAGGCTGGGTATATGGGGGGCAGGAAGCATGGGGGACTGGGATTAATTGTTAGGGACTATGAGGGGCAGAGAGCACAGGGAGACAGGGGTGATGAGGTAGGACATGGGGAGTATGGGGGCTGGGACTAAGGCAGGGATTGGGGAAGGGAAGAAGATTGGGGAGGACACGGGTAATGAGGGGCAGGAAGCATGGGGGTGGGGCTACCTGAGAGGGAAGGAAGCATTGCGGCAGGGTTTAGAGATGGGCAGGGATTATGGGGGAATGGGAGCATGGGAGGATACAGATTATGGGGCAGGGGATAATGAGCAGGCAGAAAGCAAGAGGTAGGGACTAAGGGGGGAGGGATTATGGGGACTGGGAGCATGGGAGACTGGGATTATGTGGCAGGAATTATGGGGGGCAGGAATCACAGGGGCCAGGGATTATGGGTTGTCAGGGATTATGAGGGGCAGTAAACATGGGGGCAGGGATCATGGGGTAGAGTTTATGGGGACAGATTATGGGGTAGAGAGTATGGGAAGGAAGGGAGCATGTTGTGTAGGGATTATGGTAATATGGGAGCATGGGACTGGAATTATGGATTAGGGATTATGGGGGGAGGAAGCATGGGCACTGGGATTACTTGGAGGCAGGGACTATGGGAGGTGGGGAGGGAGCAAGGCAGGTGAGAATTATGTGGGGGGTTAGGGACTGTGGTGGGGGCAGGTATTCTGAGGGGCAGGGTTGGCAAATGGCTTCCTAGATGCCGCACGAGTCAGTGCTGGAGCTGGGGTGCCTGGAGCTGGGGGCAACTGGCCAGCAGGCGGGTGTCCCCTGCCCCCTCCCCCCCACCCCTCTGAAGTCCCCCCAGGGCTTGGGGGGGCTCTTATTCCCTCCTGGTTGCTATGGCAATGCCCTTTGATTGGCAGGACCTGCCATCACCATCTCCTTCCTCCTCCCCCTGCTCCCAGATGGTGAGCAGGGGGAGGACTCTGATGATGAGGATGATGACTGAAGACCCCCAAGGGGATGGGGTGCCTCTGCTACCCCCCCTCCCCCATTCCACCACCTTGGTGCTGGGGACCCAACCCCCTTCCATGCCTGACTGCAGTTAGGCCTTGCCTCAGTTTCTCCCTATGAAGACAGCCCCCTTTTTGGAGGGACTGCGGGATCAGCTGGGGGGGAATAGTTAAGGGCCTAGCCAGCAGCAGAGCTGTCTACACTAGGGCTCTTGCTGGCCTAGCTCTGTCTGGGTGGGAGGGGGTGATTGTAGCCCACCCCAGAGCTGGTGTGAGGCTGCATGGGGGGTTCTGCAGTGGGGTAGGGGGAGATCTTTGCCAACTGGATCCCCACTGTCCTCCAGCACTCCCCCACCCCATGGAAAGGGCAGTGCCCCAGGGCAGGGGTCTTGTGCTGGGGATCGGAGCCCAGCCCCATAGAACAATATGGGCTTGGGAGCTGCCTTCCTCGGGGCAGGTGGAGGGGAGCACAGCCTCTGTGTCAGGGCTCTGGCATGACCCAGGGCAGGTGAGCAGGACCTGCTAGGGATCTGGAGGGTCCATCTCCCACAGTGGCAGGGGTGGCTGCTCTTGAGAGCATTGAACCAGGTATCTTTAGTGATCCATGCCCTGTTCAGCACCCTCTCTGGCATCCACCATGGACTGGGTTAGAGTAAACATCTCCCACCCCTCTGGTCACCAGCCTTTCAGATGGGTCCTCCATGTACATCCCTGGTGCACTTTCTGCCCTGATTGCCTCTGGCAGCAACGAATTCCACCCATGAATGATGTGTTGCTTATAAAGACCTTTCTCTGGCTGGTTTGAACCCCAGCTCCAGCCCATTTCAGCCCATTTCCAGCGTCCTAGGACTTGAACAGCGGCTCCCTGGTCACTTGGTCCACAGCCTGCATGATGCTAGAGACCTCCATCCTCTTGTTCCTCAGCCTTCTCCATTCTACCCCATGTGTCCTGGCCTTAAGTCTCTCTTGGCCTGGCTGGAGCTCCAGGCCTTGGATCCTTTGCGTTGCCCTGTTGTGGGTGAGCCAGACCCTTCTCTGGGTGTCTTCAGACAGGTCTAATCCCCTCCAGGGAAAGCGGCTGGACTCCTTGGGAGCCCATGCTGGGCTCTGCTTCCTGCCCACAGCTGCTACCAGTCCCACAGGGTCTAGCCTGGGTGGACAGACATCAACTCTGGGTGATCTGAATGCCAGGATGGGAGGCACACAGATGCCTTCAGACCTTTGTGGGGGAGACAGGTGCCTAGTTTATGGTGCTGGTGAATAGAGTGGCAGAAGAGAGGGGGAGATGCAGCCCCTCCAGCACAGATTAAAGCCAGGATTGGGACCCAGATGCACAAATCAGCCATGCATTGCGCTGGATCCAGCATGGAGGGCAGTGATTTAAAAGGCCCTCAGTGACAGGCAGTGCCATGGGGCACAGAGCAGGGTCTTAGGGCCCCATGGCCCTGTCCAAACCCTCCCAGCATGGGGGTCTCTCCTCCCTCCCTACAACTCCCTCAGGCTCTTCTCAGACAGCCCCTCCCCTAGTTACCTCAGGCCTGCTTGATCTCCATCCCCTACCCCTGGCTTTTCCCCCCACCCTGGATCCATCCCATCCCAACCTGGGGCTTTTCAGCTCCTCACTGTAAATTCCAGAAGCTGCCAGCTGTGGATCAGGTTGGTTTAATAAGAGAAGAAGCTTTGCACACGTCTGAGCTAGAGCTGCTGGTAGTGAAGGAGTTAATGCTGGATCTCCCTAGGCTGGATCTGCCTTTGGAGTGTGTGCATGCACATGCACCTTCGTGGTGGGGGGGGTGACCTTCCTATGAGGGTGCAGGGCTGGCACCTTGCAATTCTTTAGGTTACACCTGGTCAGCACCATCACCAGGGAGGGGATATACCAGTAGCCAGGGCTGCAGGATCCTTCAACCCAGCATAGGATGACAGTAGACATCTTCCCCCTCCACCCCACAGAAGCCCCTTTTCAAGGAGCACAGGGGTGGGGAAAGCATCCAGTGAAAGATGTGGCTGCCTTTCAGAGGAAACAAGATGCTTTTCCTGTCTACACCTTGCAAAAACATGCCTCCTTGCACTCATTTCACAGATGGGAAGACTGAGGCCCAGGCCAGGGGCTTTGTATGCAGGACCAAGGACAGGACTCAAGGGTCCCAAGTTCTGCCTGCCAGACAAAACTGCTCCCTGTGTGCCAAGTTCTCATAGGTTAATTGCATGTTGATTGGCATCTACCCCTGTCAGGGGCTGTGAGGCAAGCAGTGGCCATGTGCTCTGGGGGAGGAAGCCTTCATTGTCCCAGGCCCAGGATCTCCAGTTCAACATCCTCGGGCAGGGCCTGGTTCTTGCAGATGACAATATGGCCCCCTGCAATCTCAGCCAGGGAGGAGACCACGAGGTCATGGTCCCGGAGCATGTTGGGGTAGCTGGCCATGGTGTGCTCGATGCGTAGGGACCGCCGCACTGGTGTCAGGAGCTGCACATTGGGTGCTGAGGCTCTGTGCAGGAGAGACCATGGATCTCTGAGATTTCCCCAGCTATGGATCTCTGAGGTTCTCCGACCCACAGATCCCTGATGTTTCCTTGTCCATGGATCTCTGAGATTCCCCCAACCACAGATCCCTGATGGCAATGATCCCTCCAGATCCATCAGGGTCCCCCAATCTCTGATTGGCTCATTGCTTTGGTGCTGTCACCCCACCCACCAGCTTTACTGATTTGGATGGGGCCCCAGTTTACCATCAAGGGGCATACACATTCCAGGGGGAGATGGGCAAAGACAGGGAAGCAGATACCATATCTTCTCACGTACAACACACACTTCCACTAAAAAAAAAAAAAAAGGGTACCAAATCCAGCTGTTGTAATCTACAGTGTGCATTGTACATCTTAAATATGGTAAGAGCAGCCTCCATCCCATTATGGGCCAAAATCTGCAGAGGCAAGGACCAGAAAGTCAAGTTAGCTGGGCTCCCTGGCAGTTGCCACTCAGCAGGTGGTTGTAGGTGAGAGATTATGGTAGGTGCTCCTGGCTATTGTCCTGTGTAACTAGTGGTAATGGGTGGGATCTGATTATGGTGAGTAGGGGATAAGATAGGGCCTTACCTGGGTGTTGGCACGACCTTCAGCTTGATGGTAGAGACTGGCAAGTGTCTCGAAGTGACACAGGGGGTAGTCACCGCTGGCTGGCTCTGGCCAGGGCAAGGGGTTGTGGGCACCTGAACCTCAGGGCCGGGGGTTGCAGGGATCCCTGGAAGGAAGAAGAGAGAGCATCAGCGGTTCCCAATTGCTGGGGAATCAGGGAGGAACTGGATCCCTCTCTGGACATGGGAGATGGGACACTGGCAGTGCTCCCAGCCCGGTCTGACCAGCCAAGGGGGCTTGTGGTATCCATCTGTGTGGTTTTAAGGGTGGCTGAGACAGATCTGGGGATGCTTCAGAGAGGCTTGATTCTGCCTTGAACAGGGGGCTGGATTCCCTGTGCCCTCCTGAGAAGACCCTGCCAGCCTGGCCTGGCTGAGGTGATCCTAAAGGAGTGTGTTATAAGCCCGGATCCTGGTTCTCTCTGATTAAAATAAATAAATTAAAAAAAATAAAAATAAAAATCCCCAATTTTTTAATTAAAAAAAGGAACCCAAAATCAACATTTTTCCATGATTTAAAATGAAACGCCACTAAAATTATATATATTTTAGTGGGGTTTCATTTTAAATAGTGGAAAAATTTGGATTTTGGGTTACTTTATCTGAAAATTTGGGATTTTAAACGAGAACCAGGGATCCCTGGTTAAGTCAGGGGCAACCGGCAAGGGAGGAGTAGCCACAGGCCCCACTGGGCATAGAGATGAGAGGAAGCCAGGATCTCTGTGGTTGTGGCCACTGCCTTCTGCCTCCCCATGCCTTCCATGCTGCGGCCACAAGATGGCACCAAACCAATGTATTTTAAACCCAGGCCGATGGATAGCTTGAGGCAGCCACCTTGGGTCCCTGTGGCTCCTTGCCCCTGCCTAGGCCTTGGGATATACTGTACCTATCCACACAGGCTTCTTCCCACCCCACACTGCCCCGCTTCCTCCCACCAAAAAAGCAGCCTTCCAAAATTGGGCTGCACCTTAAGCCAGGGAGCTGATTTTTTTGCCCCTGGAATAGAAGCAGGGAGACGCTGTGCTCTCATGGCTGCCACTTTGCCCCGGTTTAGTCCTTTCACAGCTGTTGGTTGACGGGACTGAGGGTGAGCAAGCTGCCGCTAGCAGTCCGTAATACCTGGTTAAAGCTTATGGAATAGCAACACGGGATGCCACACTTTCTGGACAGTCTACCTTCCCAGGAGGACTTACTCTATGCCAGAGTTCAGCAGGAGCCTGAAAAAACCAACCCTTCCTGCCTTCCAATAAAACAAAGTGCATCTAATCTGGAGGGGGCTGGCATGTGGGGAAAATATGATACCCGCTCTCACTGTGGTGTTTTCATCCCATTTCAGCCAGTGTGCTACAGTGCTCCCACCAGCCTCACCTTGAGATTTCTTGTCCCTCTGCTTCAGGAGATCGACAACCACCTCCCGCAGCTCCTGGATGGGCTGTGAGGGAAGGAGTTGAGAAATGGATGGTCAGAGCAGGCTCGATGGAAGGAAATGCAGGGGGCCGGACCCCAAATGCCAAGTCGCCAGTGGGGGAATGGCCAGAGAGCCTGGGGGGGTCCCAGTGATGGGGCCTCCATGGTGGAGTGTAGCTCTAGCTTTTCCAGTCCTTTCTGAGCTATAATGCGGCCCTTGGATCTATAGAAAAGCAGGGCTCCTGAAGTTACAGCTAGTTGCACAGCCCTGGGCAAGCTGAGGCTCTGGGTTCCCCCAATCCCAAAGCCAGGAGGTAATTGGCCTTCCCAGCATACACAAGGAGCTCCACCAAGACTCACCTCAGCTCCGGCCCGCACAGCTGCCTCGTACAACTCCGTCACATCAAAGCTGCCTTCCCGGGCCAGCATCTTGGCTTTACAGATCCAGAACCTGGCTGACCTCTCTGCTTCTGGAACCTGGGCTAGCTGGGTGAAGAATTTGCTGGCTGGGAGACCCTGGGAGGCAGAGAGGTGGAGGTGAGACGGAGGACTGGAGGGAGAGGTACCTGGTTCCAACCAATTCCCATGCTGGGATTGGGGCAGGAGGTGGCTGGATAAGTCTTTGCTTCTTTGCCCCACCTTCCCCCAACACAAGGCGAGTGATTTGTTCAGGGCATGCTTGGAACGTGTGGAAATACCGTAACCACTACAGCTGCCTGCCTGCCTGCCTCAGAGACTCCTGTGGCACTGGCCAGCTGGACCCTTGCAGCCTCCACCTACCTCCTCAATGTGTTTCAGGCACTGGCTAACGGCGCTGTGGATCTTGCCCGCAAAGTCCATCTGCTCCCGGGTCTCCTCTTCCTCCTTGATGTCATCCCAGAAGGACTGGTGGAGCTTCTTTGCCAATTTCTTTGTGGACAACGTCATGGGTGGCCGCTTATATGCTCGGCCTTTGGATGCCAGCCACTCCTCCAGCTGTTTCCTGGGGGGGGAGGGGATGACAACAGGACATTGGACCCTATCGCCACAGCTCCAAGAGCTGTCAGGATTGGGGCCCTGAAGCTGGTGGGATGTGGCCAACCCTGTCTAAACCGTTCCATCCTTGTGTCCAACCTATCTGCCTATAAAAGCTTCCAAGGATGGAGATCCACTCATCCCCCAACCCACCCTGACACCAAGACATCCTCAGAGGGAGACAGTTCTGTCTAGGGTGCTGGACTCAATAACCTCTGGAGGCCCCTTCCAGCTCAGCTGCTCTATGATTCTCCAACCTCCGTGGCTGATGCTCCTAGTCCCGTCACTTGTGTCTTCAAAGCCTATCTCCAGCCCCCAGAGAAGCTGGGAAAAAAATCCTGATCCAGAGGCATCTCTGTGATGGGAGTAGCTCTGGGTTTTTCCACTCTGGTCCCAGCTGCAAAGCTCAATCTGTCTGTAACCTACTGAGTACAACTGTGTGCAACTTGGCCCAACAACAAAGGGAGCTTGAGCAGCTGTGCTTACGAGGGCAATTTCCAGGCATGCAAATCCATAGTTTCATAGTTGGGACCTAAGCAGATCATCAAGTCCGACCTCCTGCCATGGGCAGGAATGAATGCTGGGATCAAATTACCCCAGCTAGGTGACTATCTAGCCTCCAGATCCTAGCTGCCCTGACTGTGAAGTAGTGCCTCCTGATGTCTAGTCTGAATCTACTCTCCATCAACTTATGGCCATTATTCCTCGTTACTCCCGGTAGTGCTCGGGGGAACAGGGACTCTCCCATGGCCTGCTGGTCCCCCTTGGCCAGTTTGTAGATGGCTACCAGATTCCCTCTCAGCCTTCTCTTGTGGAGACTGAACAGGTTTAGGTCCCGTAGCCTCCACTCTTAGGGCCTGTCTTGCTGCCCCCTGATCATGTGGGTGGCCCTCCTCTGGACCCTCTCAACGCTGTCCACATCCCTCCTGAAGTGCGGCGCCCAGAACTGGACGCAGTACTCCAACTGCGACCTGACCAGTGTCACATAGAGGGGGAGGATCATCCCCTTGGACCTGCTCGTGATGCATCTGTGGATGCATGACAAGGTGAAGTTTGCCTTCCTGACTGTGTCCCGACATTGGTGGCTCATGTTCATTTTGGAATTGATAATTACACCAAGATCCTTTTCTGCCTCTGTGCTGAGAAGGGAGTTCCCCAGTCTTTAGGTATGCTGCTGGTACCTGTCTAGATCTAGTTGCAGCCTGTCTCTCCCTTCTAGCGTGCCCGCTTCTCCCCACATCTTGGTGTCATCTGCGAATTTGAACAGGGTGCTTTTCACCCGCTCGTCCAAATCACTGATGAAGATGTTGAACAGTGCGGGCCCGAGGACCGAGCCCTGGGGGACCCCACTGCCCACATCCCTCCAGGTCAAAAATGACCCGTCCACCACCACTCTCTGCGTGCGGCCCTACAGCCAATTTGTGACCCATCTGACTGTGTAGGTATTGACGCCACAGTAGCCTAATTTTGTAATAAGAATGGGGTGAGAGACCATGTCAAAAGGCCTTCCTAAAGTCCAGAAAGACTACGTCCAAAGATTTTGTGACCTGATCGTAGAAGGCCATCAGGTTGGTCTGACAGGACCTGCCCCTAATGAACCCATGTTGGTTGCCCCTGAGCATGATCTCCCCTGCTGGTCCCTAGCAGATGTGCTCCTGGATAATTTTCTCAAAGAGCTTCCCCAGGACTGAGGTAAGACTAACGGGCCTGTAGTTTTCTGGGTCCTCCTTCCTCTCCTTTTTGAAAATGGGGACCACATTGGCCCTTTTCCGGTCTTTCAGCACCTCGCCAGAGCACCACGAGTGCTCGTAAAGCTGTGCCTCTGAGCCTGTTCCTCACACTCAGAGTTTGCCTGGGAGATAACAGAGACCAAAGAGATCCTTGGATCTATGGTTCACCGGAGTTGGACTGGAAGGGACCTCAGGAGATCACATCTAACCCAGCTCCCAAGGCAGGCTCAGCCCTGACAAAACTAGCCCCACTGTGTTCATCCAACCTGCTCTCAAACATTCCCAGGAACAGAGACTCCATAACTGCTCTAGGTGCCTGTTCCAGTGCTCGACCCCCTCATAGGAAGTTCTACCTCATCTCCAGCCTCAGTTTCCCTTGCTGCAGCTTGAGGCTGTTGCTTAGACCTTGGGGACTGCAGTAAAGGTCTTGTTCCTGACAGGCACAGAGAAAAGCCTGTCTCCATTCTCTCTATTATCAATCTCTCGGTATTTGAAGGCTGGGATCAAATCCCACCTGTCTTTCCTTCTCCAGACTCAATCACCCCATTCTTCCAGCCTGTTCTCATCAGTCTTTTCTCCCAGGGTCCTGATCATTTGTGCTGCCCTGTGCTGGATTCTTTCCAATCTGCCCATGTCCTTCTTTGAAGCATGGGGCCAGAATTGAACACAATCACCAGGGCTGAATAGAGGTGGAGAATCACTGCCCTGGATTTGCAAGTGACTGCTGCCAATACAGCTCAGGATGCAACATGACTGCCTCATATTCTGCTTATGGTCCATGTAACCTCATCTCTCTCTGCAGCCCAGCCACCACGCCCCAGTCTGAATTGGTGCATGCAATGATTCCATCCCAAGGGCAGGGCTTTGCACTTGTCCTTGCTGAATTTCAGTTCATTGGTTATTTCTTCCAGTGGATCCAGGTCTTTGTGGATCCCAGCCCTGCCCTCTGGAGTGCCTGCTCCACCCAACATGGCATCAACTGCTCTCAGGTACATTAGATGTGGCTCACATCAGAGGACAGGGTTGTTCTGGCATTAGATCACTGCAGTAGGCAGATCGAAGCAAGTCTAGGAAGAGATCAGAGCTTGGTCTTCTGCAATTAGGGAAAAACTCAGTCATCTTGTTGCTTTCTCTCCCATGTATTGTCTCATTAATTCCAGCCAGGACACCCCAATGGCTCTGATCCATGGAGGACACACCGCAAGCCACAGAAGCTTTGTCTAATATATTATATCCCTTGGCAGTTTGACCCAGAGCGGGTTGCAGAAAGGCACCAAGCCACAGGTGGCTGGATGTGCCTATCTAGCAACTGCTTGTTACAAAGGAGACTCAGAAAATCCAGGCTGGCAAGGCCCCCAGGGGGTCATATAGAGTCCAACCTCTGTCCAAACTCTCTCCCTCTTCCCCCCCAAGTTATATCTGAGCTGTTCCTAACACCCTGTGGCAGCCCCACAAGGCCCAGATGCCCCCAGTGCCCCTGCCCTTGCCCTGGGGGATGCTGGCTGGCTATGCCCTGCTGCTGCCAGGGGGCTTAAATGCCCCTGGGATATGCCAGGCAAGGCCATGCCCCTACTGCAGAGGAATGCAAACCCCACCCCCAGTCCATGCCTATTTGAGCAGGGGGGAAACTCCTTTCCCAATCCCCAATGCAGTGTCAGGCTGACCCTGAGTGGAGGGGCAAGACCCTCTAGCCAGGACCCTATGCCCCTCAGAGCCCCCCTAACAGGACAACCATAGCTCCCCTGTCTGCCTCCCTTCCATCATATCATCCCAGTGCCTTAAGCTAGCTTGCGGAGAGCTCCACCTTTCACTCTTACCCACAACATTGGCTACGTGGTACGTGTGGAAATATGGTAACTGCCACCATTGCCTGCCTGTCTTGAAGAAAATCTGATGGCCCTGGCTAGCTGGACCTGAGGGGGTTTGGCCCCAAATCCAGTGCGAAGTACCTTTTCTCTGTACTGGAAGGAAGTGGTGGTGGGGGAGGCATACAACACCAGACTTGCCCAAGGAGGTATATAACTGGCTTAGCAAAGACTAAGCTGGCTTTAGACACTGGACTAGATCCTCTTTCTGCCTCAGTGATATGGGACCTATTAATGCCTTTGGTTCCTGGAGGCAAAACTCCCTTGTGGGAAGGTGGTGGCAGGTGAAATGCAGCCCTAGAGAAGCAGCCCCAGGGGCGTCTCCATGAGCTGCTGAGCTCAGGGAAGGGGTGGCTGTCCCTGCTAGTGACTCTGTGAGCTGCTTGGAGAAGGTCATAGCCAATATTCTACAGCCACTAGCTGTATTTTAATAGTGTACAATGCACCCCCCCACCATCCCTGCCCCTCCATAAAAAAAAACAGCTGCTGGAAATTGGGGCGGGTGCATTATAAATTACAAAATATGGTAATGGCAGTTTCCACTGCTGATGCTTCTGTCGGGCAAAAGCAGCTCTCTGCACACAGGGAGCCAAGCAACAAGGAGGCTGCAGCTGCTTAGTTACAATCAGGAAAGATCTCGCGGGGGGGTGTATTGGACATGTGGGAAGTATGGTACTTACTTGCGATTGGCCGGGGTGGGGGCCTTGGGAACCCGGCGGGCTTGACTCCTACCAGTGCTGCTCCTCCTCTTAGGCAGGCTGGCCCTGATTTGAGCCCCGGAGGTGTGGGGTGTGGTACAGTTCCTTGGGGCACCAGGTCTGGGCTGAGGAACTCGCTTGGCATCCAAACCATTCTGCTTCCCTCTCCCCATTACCGTGGGGCAGGTGATGGGGCCACGAGGCCTCCCCACTTGAGAAGCTGCTTTGGGTTGTGTCAAGGGGAGCTTCTCCAAGGCTTGGGGCTTTCTGGGAGACCTCGTCAGCTTCAGATCCTTCCCAGCTGTAGCCAGAGGCCTGAGTTTCCCCAAGGCTCTCAAGGGCTCTGCATGTTGCCTCTCCAGTGGTCTCCCTGCCATTGGCTGGGGCTTTGAGAGGCTGGGATCATGCCCCCCTTTTAATACCCTTGGTCCCTTGAACAGCTGAGTCCTAGAAGCAGTTGAGATCTGATGCTGCACCACAGTCAAGCCAGGAGGGGGTTTCCCAGCTTCATCACATGCCTGTCCAGTGGGTCGGCTGTTCCCACTGGCTTTCAGCCTCCCACGACCCCTTGTGATGGTGGGAGCTATGTCTTTACATCCGGTCCTTGCCCGAGTTCTGCTCTCCAGACCAGATGCCCCCCTGCTGCCAAACTCTGAAGCAGGGAGGTTGAGGTTTTCTTTACCCATCTGAGTGGAGGGATGGCCCCTGCCTCCATCTGACTCTCCAGCCCTCTGATGTAGCTTCACAGCCTTGGCAGTCTCCTGCGTTGGATACAAGGGGCGACGGGTGGAAAATGCCATTGTCCTCGTGGACGGATTGCAGTGGTCTGGGTTGGGTGGCTTTGCGAGGGGGCCCTGATCCTTTCTCAGGCATTTCATGAGCCTGGATTTTGGGCCCTGGGAGACAGGGATGCCCACAGAACTGTGTTGAAGAGCATGACCTGCTGGCTTTGCAGCTCTGGAAGGGGGCCCAGTCTCTCTCTGGATGCGGATGGGCCATTTCGGGGGGACAACCCGGGGTCCAGTGACCTGGTGAGAGAGATCAGACTGATGAAAGAACAAACCACCCAAGTGCATTCCTGGTCTACTCTTTATATATATGAAAAAGGGTTTCAGCCAGGCAGACATCACTTCTGAAGAACCTAAGAGCCATTCATAGGTTCATCTTTCCCTCCTAACACAAAAGCAAGCTTTTGTATTGCCTTTTCTGCCACGGGGAGAGGTCTAGGATATACAGGTTTCCCTCACTTTATGCTGTGCATACGTTCCTGGAAAATGGCACATAACTCAAATTTGTATTTAAGGGGAATTCGCATACTTTACAACGTAACAAATAGGGATACATTCCAAGACCTCAATTGTACTGACCCCCAGACCTATTTCTACCACTTTTACAAGACAATGTTGGTACTCGCCCACAGCAGACAGTACACACAAGCACAGGGTGGTGGTGAATGTTACCGTCATGGGGATGGCAACTACAGAAATGCGTGTCACAGACAACGAGCAAGGAGCACAGATCCACACAGGAGACTATATTTTGGTGCGCGTCACTCCCACAGTGCACTGCACAAAGCAGCTGACTGTGGGCTTCCACCACACCTATCACATAAGAGTGAATTTACTTCGCATACGACCCTTTTTATACCAAAAATTCGTTATCGCATAAAAGCAAATTTGCACTACAGAACCTGCATAAAGCACGGGAAACCTAGGGAAACACAGGGCTACTACCAGAGACCACAAGGCTCTTGGAACAGACAGGTGAATTTGGATTTCACTAGCAATCATGAGACTCCAGCTGCATCTCCCTTGCATTTTGGCTGCTATGTAGAGAAAGCAGGGTACAGTATCTGTGCCTCTTAGAGAGGAATTAAATAAGAAAGCACAAGAACATAAGAGCTGCCACCAGAGGTCCATATTGCACAGTCTCCTGCCTCACATGATGGCAGGGAGTGGATGCTGGAAGAGAGAGTGAGCTGGGTTTTTCCACTGCTCCTCTCTTACTTGCAGCCTTCAGTATTTAAGGTCTAGGATGTTTCGATTCAGAAGCCATGTCCCTCACTCCAATACCTATTGATGCCCCTTTCCTCTGAGAACATGTCCAATCCCTTGGTGAATCTGGCTGAACTTTCAGCTTCTGCCACATCTGGTGGCAATGAGTTCCACACTTTATTGACCTGCCAGGTGAAAAAGAACTGTCTTGTGTTCACTTTAAACGGATGGCCTGCTCGCTTCATGTCATGACCCCTTGTTCTTGTATTGGGAGAGACAGAATCATAGAAAAAGGGGGGCTGGCAGGGACCTCCAGAGGTCACATTTAGTCCAACCCCCTGCCTGCGATCAGCCCTGTCCAAACCATCCCATACAAATCCATCGTTTCAACTCTTCGTAAAACCACTGTCAAACCTGACACAACACCAGACATCATTCCAACGCTGCCACAGGGAAAACAGGGGGACCACAGCAGCTAATGTCTTGCTGCTGTAAAGGTTTATTAATATACAATCAAGAAATCCCAAGAAGAGGCTGTACCCCCACTACAGAGGAAGGCAATCCCCTCTACCCCACCCATACCCATCTTTTTTTGGGGGTGAGGGGGTGGAGTTTCTTTCTGACTCCAAATGCAGCATTGCTCTGAGCCTGAGCAGAGCGGTAAGACCTTCTAGCCAAGACTGGCTTTGGTCCCAGCAGAAGCATTGATACAGCCCAGGCACCATTCCTAGCCTGGGCTGCAGCCAACACCCAGCGCCTCCGAGGGAGGCTTAAAACCACCCTGGCATGTGTAGCAGAAAGCAGGGGAGGGGGGGCAACCAGCACAGCTCAGAAGCCTAGGAAATCTCCACAGCAGAGCACAGTTATTCCTATGCGTAGATCACACCTGTCCAGTGCCTATCCAATCTCTCCTTGAACTCCTTCAGTGATGGAGAGTCAACAACTCCCCTGGGCGTCTATTCCACTGCCTCCAAGCTTTACCAGAGAAGAAGTTTTTCCTGAGATAAAACTTCAAGTCCCTTTGCTGCAACTTCAAGCCACTGGACCATGTCCTAAATAACGAACGTGCAAGTCACAAAAGGCATAACATTTGGGAACAAAGGGTCATTGGAGTACTGGACACAAAGTCCCAGTTGTGTTTCTGATCAACAGAAGGGAACAAGATTGCCTTGCAAGGTAACTAGGGCATTTCTCAGTCTAAGAGTGCATGCATAAAAAAAAATAACATTATCAATTATTAAAAAAAAAAAAAAAAAAGAAAGAAAAAGGATTTTTAAATTTAAATCATATTTTTTAAATTTTGTTGTGAAGATGCTTTTTAAAAAAAATAAACCTATATAAAGATAGTTTTAATTTAAGATATGTTAAAGCTCAAAGATAGCATCATGGAATAGTATATAATTAGAAGTTATAATCCCCGTTTGAGACAATATATTCATGTGACCTTTTTAGAAAAGTTTTATAAATAGGTCACAACAGGCCATGGACTACACTAGGGGCCCAATCTTATGGGGTTCCCAGAGGCTTTTCTACAGATTAGTAAAGATTAAAGAAAACCACTCAACCCAGTGGGACTCAGTGCTAGAAGATCCCATTAAGCATCTCTGTGATGCTTAGTTTCAGTTCTCAGACTGTGGATTTGTCTCCAGAGATAACATCTTTGTTAACAGCAGGATATGGAGACAAGAGATAACAAACCTGATTACCCACCCATCAGCCCTATTGTCTTTCTGCAAGTTTGTGTAGGGAGTCAAGCCCTTACCTCTCTTTAAAAGTGCAAGGTTTCAAGAAGTTAAATGAATAAAGGATATCAAACAACAAGAATACATTTTTGTAGGAAACAATTATTAAATCAAGGCTTCCTGACCAGCGATTTAAATTCAGTCTACCCTGTGTCTGCTGATCCAATGTGAGTGAAGTGGAAAACCCAGTCTCTCCAGCATTCTCTCTCCCAGCTGATCCAGGATTTTGGAGTAACAGGCTCCACAACACCACATCCCTCATAAGGTTGGCCCTCTCCTCTCCCACTCAGTGCTGCCCACGTTTCTCTTCCTTTGCAAGTCCCTTCGCTGCCATTTCCCCCTCCCACTTTCCCCTGCCCCTTCAGCCAGCAGGAGTCTGCTCCCAGCTGCAGCAAATCAGTCTGCCCCATGTGCTTTGCCTTGAATAGGCAGTGTTGACTTAGGGTCTGGTGATGACTTAGTGCTGTCCCTTGGCTAAAGGCATAATCCAACCCCTCCAGGAGAGTTGGATATTGGGGATGCTGTATGGGGACTTGTTATGGGGATGCTGTATTTTCCCATAGCTGGTCTTCTCCAGTGTTTGTGCCTGAGGATGGTTGGCCAAGGCACTGGGATGGGTTGTGAACTTTCTGGCCCCTTTGCTGACTCAGCAGTGCCCATCAAGCCGAGTCAGCAGTTTTCATACCTGCTCCACCCTCCTAGCCTCCAAGAGCCACAGAGCTGGGCCTTCCCAGCTTATCACAGCCAAATGCAGCAAAGGGCTGGTGTAAACCCATGAAGCAAGAGTTCATTTTCCTGGGAGTTTCC